TGCAAGACTTCCCACCGGTAGTTACTGGTACTTCAACGTTACAATCAATAAAATGACTACTAAGTCTATGAATAATATGTTTTGTTCACTTATCAATTAATAAGTATTTTGTCTTCGTACATCTGAAGAGACGTCGATTTAAAATCAATGTTTAACCAGAGTCTTCTCTCACCTGACTGCTGCTGAGAAAACTAATTATAACCCTGCTTAAAATAGATAAAAGGCCAGGTAATCAGTGATCAATTCCCTTAACTATGTTCCTATAACTTCAATTTTATATACAGACGAAGAACTTAAGACATATATTGATTTTTGGTTGAAATTAGAACTTGTGTATTTTGTTCAACCAACATACATGTATTAACTGTTATGTTATAAACCGAAATAGAATCTTTGACACAATTTCAACCAAACAAGTTCAAAGTCACATTGGAAGTCTGTAAAAAAACATGTACGCCTACTGAAAATGAGAAAGGAACGCCTCTAATGAAAATTTAAAGTGGTATCAAATAAGTCCAATAAATAATAAACAGTAGGTGTTCAGCAATATTCTCCCGTCAAAAGGCAAAACCTAGTAACTCACTTTTTGATCAAAATTGCTTCCTGTTGTTGTACTAGATATTCCAATCTTTTGATTTTGTAAGCAGTTACACCCATGACACAACCTAGCAACTTCCTTCATTTGCCTAGTATACCACAGCAAAACCTAGTAACTCAATAGTCAAATCAATGGATGAGCAGGGGTTTAATATTCATTCATTATGTTTTCCTTTGTTTTCTCAAAATGAGAAAAAGGTGAGTTACTAGGTTTTGCCTTTTGACGGGAGTATTGTAGACCATTGTTTTTTAATGTTTATTTTTTGGACAATTCCTTTTTCCGTGATTTGTGACAAACCGTTTCTTTTATTTATTAATGACATAAAAAAATTGACATAATGGAAACATCTGAAACAATAAGATAACATGCCACTCTCATTTAATTTGGCCCATAAGGACTGGTTATTCTAATAGATATGAAAAGGGAGGTCACCCTAATTTTATGACTTCTGAACAGATTTTTATTTAATTTTTAAATGATCTTCAGCTCCTGAAAGAATTACATATTGTGTTTGATAAACAGGTACAGATCCTACTCATCCTATACTAGAATATCCCAGGTTGGATTGCCTGTGTGGACTGAGAGGAATTTCAGAATTATCAAGCCTGGTTACCACGTCTTGTCAATGATAGCACCTGCAGGGCTGACAAGAAAGATGTTGCCTTTTTGTTCAGATAGGACACCCATGTAAATGTAACCGTGCATGTGAAAGGCCATGACAGTTTGAAAATGCCACTGTCCAGTTAAATTTCTACTCTGTAGCATTACACATGTGACAATACAAATTATAACCATATGTTAGTCTCAAAATGACCAAAATATTGTGTTGATAAGATGTTTTAAACACTATTCTTTCCTAGAGTACTGAAGGGGTAACTATACTGGTTTGAGCGATGTCAAAATTGTAGTTTTGACAAGCAATAACTGGTGTCTGAAATTAAGTACAAGTGGGAAGTTCAAGATTGTCGGATAAGCTAGGTTGTAATAAAACCAGTAGTAATAAAAAACAGTATCGCATGTAACTTTACCAACAATATTATGATGTTACCATACATTGTTATCTTTATATGTCAGGACAGGAAAATGCTGTGCGAATCAGTATGTTTAAGGTAAACTAACATATAGGCCCTAGGTATATTACCTCTTAAATCAGATCAGTGACAAGGTGGGGCTAAAAACAGATACAAAGCCAACCAAAAAAATTAATAGATAAAATATATTTGGCACTTTTAAATTGAATCAAAATACACAATCTCTGACACAAAATTAAGTATGCAATTACACAGTCAAACAAAAGTCAGGTACACATACATGAATACAATCCTGTATACTGTAATTGAGTATGACATATTTTGCAGACTGAAATTTCGTTATTTCCTGTTGCTGTTTACGTAGGTAAGAGAAAAACCGAAATGGTCCCATACTTTTGATCGGTAAGATGCAGGTACTTTTTCGATCTCAACTTCACACAGTATAATTACTACTGGACGTGGGGACATAATAATAATCAAAAGAAAAATACTGCCGAAAGTTAAACAAAATCATGAAGACGAAATGAGTGTCAAATGCAATTTAATTGGTGTAAAATTGATGGCTTACGCTATTTTATGCAGTGGAAAATATCGTCTTATCAAGTTTCTGGGTTATATCTTGCACGAGATTAGTAGGCCAGTTTTTGCAATGATATGAAGTCTGGATGGCCGGGACATATTATTATCCTACCAGGAATTTTCTTTACACTGAACTGATATAGCTAATATTTCGATAAGTCCCACCACTTAATTTATTGAATAAATATTGTGATACAGTGTGAAATATACAGTAAACCTCAAATCAAAAAAAAAAAATCGCTGTTATTGATTTTGTTATAAAAAGTATCGTTCATCGCTTTTATGGAAAAAATAGCAGTACACTGGTTCAGCAGTGAATCATTTCGGCCTTAACATGTATATCTTTTAAAATTATCACCTTATATAGTTATTTAAAGGTTTGGTGCGTCATTTGCATTTTTGGACTTGAACTATTTTTGGACTGATATTCCTATTACAGTTTAAATTTTAGCAAAATTGTAGTTTGCCTTAACTTAAATATTATACTTAACTCGTCACTGATACTAAGCTTTGATGTGTAGCAAATGTACAGTGATAGTGAGAGAAATTTAAGAGAATTAAATGTTACATCCTGTTAACTACAAGCAGCATTAGGATTCTATTAGTAGAAGTCCAGGACAGATCTACATGTACCTCACATTCCAGAATAATGATGTTCTACAAGATACACTGCTTCACCATAAAAGCTACAGTGCATGGATAATCATCATTCACAATCCACAGGTAACATATAGCAAAGCTGTTGATTTCAAGACTGAGATAAAAATAACTCTAAGTCTAATACGCATCAAGAGTAGGATTCCACTCTTGTCAAGTCGGAGGTGGTGTGGCTTTCCACCCACATCCATGACAATGTTAATCATGGCAATTTTGTTGGATCTAAGGTTTGTAGCCTACCCTATACTGTAGGCCATCATAATTTTTCATGGCTTTACAATCATGGGTAAAAATGTGGTATCATCATGGACAATATAATACATGTACAAGGTCCATGGTATAATAGAACCTGAGGCCGACATAACAGTACCACATGTGAATAATGCATCAATAAGTGGTACATGTATGTAATAATAAAATGTGATGTGAATATGTATTCAATGGATTAAAGTAAAAATATGTCGCACAAAATGTATCTCCTATATATATATGGCCATCAAACTTTGACATGATTTTTACTGAAAGGGATTAAAAATCAGACCTAAACCGATTTTGGAATTTTGGATTTTTTTTTCCAAGTAGTACTAGAACTATTGGGATTTTTGCAGTAGTTTAAGTATTTGAGCCTGTGGTCCTGGTGGAATACACCAAGTGACAAGTGTACCTATCAAACATGGTACTGTTAAATATCAATATACCGGCGACACGTTTTCGCCCCTCAATGCTTGTACTGTTAATCAGCCTATTATTCTCTCATATCACGTTTTATACCAATCACACATGGTACTTACTTATATATCTCAGCCGTATATTCTATTATACCACTTTTCACTTATTACCGTCAGGGGCAATGGGTCTCCTACAGACAACTTTAAAAAACAGACGGATGCAAAAGCGTTTCCTGGCATTCCAGGTCCTGAGTACAGCAACTTGAAAGTGGTCCAATATAACAGTAGCTTTATATGTACTTTTGCAACCGAAATCCCACACTATGACCACCTGATTTTGGAGAACAGGGACATAAATGAAACACCCAAAAATTTGTGTTTATAGCCCATTAATACTAAGCGTGAAAATGAATGCGACCATATTGACCACTGCAACTTTTTGCACGAATCATCGGTCAAAACTGAAATCGACAATACACACGGATACTTGCAGATGAAACTTGCAAATTGACAATTTTATCATGCATGCCTTTTGGCCTTGCACTCTAATTGGCTACGGTAATCAAAATCATTCTGCGAACTATTTCACGACATCACTTCGGCATATAAAAGATTTAATTCAAATAGTACTTACTTAATTTAAATAGTACTTAGATAATCAATTAAATACAACCACCGCATTGCAGGTCGGGTAGCGCCAAACCGGAGTCCCTCTAATTGGCTACGGTAATCAAAATCATTCTGCGAACTATTTCACGACATCACTTCGGCATATAAAAGATTTAATTCAAATAGTACTTACTTAATTTAATTAGTACGTAGATAATCAATTAAATACAACCACCGCATTGCGGGTCGGGTGGCGCCAAACCGGAGTCCCTCGAGAGCCTAAGGCGTAAAGGGTGTACATCACAGGGTATGGTGAGCCTCCCGGAGAACATTTTGAGAAAAATAGATGGATGCAAACGCGTTTCCTGATATTCCTGCTATGAAAGTAGAATCACTATAATTAAAAAGTAGGCCTATGTGGAGCCTACATGTACCAAACTCGTGTATTTAAGCCCTACCATGTTTCATTTAGGCCTATATAGAAGGTGAGCACAGTATTTTGAAGCATGATATTTACCCCCTGCCCAAGACAATTACTGCTAACCCTAACCTAATACAAATTGGTATGACCAAAGTTGCCCTAAATCTTGTACACATTGTCAATCAGTAGCCTAAATTAAATAATAATAAAGAAAGTCCAGTAATTGTAAGGTAGGCTACGGTACAGACAAGGCCTGCGTCTAGCCTATATAGTATAGGGCTGTACTGGTGGCCTAAAACCTTTTAATCCAATGCCTAAACTGAGATCTAATAATTGGCATATGAATAACAGACACCGAGTCAACTTAGACTCAGAGACTGAGAAAGTGCGAGTTAATATGAAACAGAAAGAACAAGTGTGAAAGCATATTTCCTCACCCTAATTTAGAGCTCCTCCGTGACACAGATGCACATAAATGCATCCCTCTTGGTTTACTTCATAGCCATTTCAGGCAGAGTTATTGCTAGACGGTATTTTCTTTTCTAAAGTATCAGAATATCAGGAAATATTTTAGTGCTTCGATCTTTTTTTTTCTCTCACGAGAAATGGACGACCACTTCCTGTTAATACTACTGGCTTACTGACGTCACGGGCTAGTGGGTAAATGGATCGATTAGACTATGGAACAATCACAATCGCATCAGATCTATATTAAAACTATTAGCTCATTTACCTTGAAGCCCAATAACAGTGTAGTTTGATGTATGAATTATTTATAGCCTGTGTGTGATGTCATATTTTATTTCACTTTGACGTTTATGAAAACAAAATCCTTTTGATGTGTCTATATTAAATTTGATATTTATTGAAGAAACATTTCATTATAGAATATAAAAGGCGTAATAGATCTCCAACTTTTATTTTTCCCTAAATAAACAATTTGCGTAAGATCTAGATATAGGCCGAAAGATAAATATTAGCCCTAACTAAACAAAATAATTTAGCTTCAGTTTCTACGCCCTTCCGTGTTCTTTGTCATTGTGACGAGGGTTTATCCTGTAAAATAAGAGTTATCTCCCATTACTAAAAATTCATTGCTTGTTAGATGAGAATAAAAGACATAATACTTAAAAAAAATTTAAACTAACGAAAATAGTGCAACCACATTGTCTTAACAAAATCTGGCATCATAAAGGAACTTTTAACATAATGATATTGATCAGTAAGAAGGAAGAACCCTTAAATAGAGTTACCTCCCATAATACTCTATTCCAATTCATTCTGTCTCATGTGATCAGGTGTGCTTTTTACTTTTGGTCACTTTCTCACTATGGGCGTTGCGCCCATTACGCAGTGTACTCACATGAGTACTCTTTTTTCCAACACCCAATAAAATACTCTACAAAATGTGCATAAGATTGCACAAGATAGCTGCCAGCTAGGTTGGTTGCATTTGGAAAATGGCATATATATACAAAAAATCTTGGGAGAAAGGGGGATAGGGGGTATATGCCTTGCCGAGTAGTTTTCAACAGCCGCGCTACACACATGCTCACGTCTAGCTCTATTGCGATTTTATGATTCACCTCAGGGTAGGAAATTTCTCCGAGCTACATGTACTGTTGCTAGTGATTTTGTTTTTCATCTTTTGATATGAAACACAAACATCCTTGGCACATTGATTGAATATTTATTATAAAACTTAAATGATAAGTAATAAGATTATAAAACAATTAAGGTTTAAAAGGCAACAAAGGCTTAATCAACCTTTATCATCATCTCCATAAATATAACTTATGATTTAATTACAACATTTCACAACTGAGCAATCAGTCACTGATACTGCCCTTGACATGATAGCCTATTATGAAACATTAACATATGGTTCAATTTTATTTCATTAATTCCTTTGCGTGTAGGGGTCTTTATCAGTGGGAGGAAACCACAGGAACCAGAGAAAACCCATGAGGTTGGACAGACGACCCTACTCCTTGTCACATACAAGCGCTGAATCAAAACCACACCACTGATTCAATGACAGACCTTATGATGCAACGTACACTCGTTAACGATTCGGCCAACCTCCCTCCCCACCCTCCGACCAAACTAGTGTCAGAGTTGTGGTTGAAACCATTTTAGGGCATTTTCATGTTAATCATTTACACTTGTGACAATACTTGCTAAATATTTAGTCTAGTTTATCCTGACTAATTGAATGTCTTGCTTATCAAGACTACATTTGGTGAGTGAACAAGATAATTAATTGAAACAACTCATACCTTTTTCTCAAATTTAAGTGGAAAACAACATTATAATCTTATGTCTTCTAACATGATATGATGATAATAAATGTGTTAATGTTTAGAACAGAAAACTGTATTAATGGCCCAGAGTGTATCAAAATACCCCATAATAAAATTTGTTACAACCAAAAATTTGTCAAACATAATACATAAAGCTATTAGTTTACTCTAGAAACAAATACTTATTGTAATGTTTCTTTATTCACCATATTATTTTGGATATGTGCATAACTCATTTTTGACTATTTATCACAATTTCCTTTTCTCAAACAGTGTATTATTATAGCAGTTTTCTACAGACAAATACTCTTTATCAAAAATTAGATCAAATGTCTGATTTTCAATAATAATATCACACATAAATACACTTTGACAATGTAATCTCTACATAAAAATACGGTAGGGTGCCCCATGCAGCGACAGTTTTCCCTACTGAAAGTTGAACTCAACAGTGGCTTGTCTCGAAGTGATTTCTGACTAGTCACGCAGAGCGATAACACTCAGCCCAAGAGTCTATGAGTCTATGAATAGCCATCACACATGAAATTCTCTACACATCTATTAACTATTAAAGCCATAAAAAAATCTATTGTTGACGATTCTGAATAGCAGTAATATTTAACTTTTTGGTTCTTACAGTAGCTTTAGAAATTATGTTCGTTTTATTTTTTAAATTGCTTTATCATTAACTATACCGTTAGGAGTGGCATCTTTTGGTTTAGTACAAATAATATCTGTGAAACACTCGGGTTAGAAAAGAACATGATACTAGCAGTGTAGCACTATGGCCCTTGAGACAATTTTGGCTCTTTATAAAATTGTCTCTTCAATTTGGTCTATAAAGTCAAATCATAAGTATTAAATGAACGTGGTTATAGTTGTTCGTAAAAAACAGTGATGTTTTAGTTAAATTATAATCATTGTCAAAATAGTCATCAAATTCTAGCTGTTTATTGACCTATGGTTGGTTGACCAAAAATAGGTAATGTTGCCTGTCTTGTTTGTGGGAAATATAGAGTTTTATTCCTTATATGGCGTGGATATTCACGTCAAGGTTATTGAAGACCTGAGAAAGTAGGGGGTATAAATTAGGGTGTAGAAGAGAGCTAGATTAGAGCTCACCCAGAAATTCTTACCAGTCATTATATATTTGAGAACGAGGAACCTGCGAAGTTATTTCCAGTTTACTAATAAAGCTGTGAAATCATTGTTGCTGTAGTATTATTTACGATCACAAGGAACACAACAAATAAAGAAGTCCGGTAGTACTACAGCAGTAGTTTCATTTTCCTTTTACAGAGTCCTTAAAACAATTGTTGAGTTGCCTAACGTGTCTGTTTCTAAATTCAATTTCTTGTTCCAGCTTTCTGTTATGTTTCGTAAAAAAGCAGTCTTGATTATCTTGGCTTGTCAATCAGACGAAGAATGGTCGGTAAACTGGTTAAGTGAGACTAATTTCAAAACAAGAGCATGTAACCTATTTTTTACTCAAAAGTGCCTGGATGTTATGGCCAACAATCATAACCATTTTTCAGACTATTATTTATGGATAGTTAAATGGTCATATCTTATTCAGTACAACATGACTGTTTATTTAGTGACTATAAATGTGCGAAGCTGAATTAAGGCTTGGTGTATATATATAAATATTGTGTTGTAATTGTCAAGATATTTGGAGATATTTATTTATAGTGAGGCACCCTAAACACAGCATATAGCTACACACAGGGTTTGCTCGATTGCCATCATACTGAATTGATGGTATTGCAATCAAGTGGCCCAGAATCAAGTCCTGTCACATTTCTACTAGTCCCAAAAACAGATGTGGAGCAAACAGAATTATGACATAATCAAGCCTTTCAGCTATGGTGATTGATAAATTATTATCAGTTGGTGCAAACCTGTCAATCAAAACACTAGTGTTTATGTGATTGACACCTTTTCAAGGGATTGAAAGAATCCGTTTCTGGTACATTCAACCATGTATTCTCTTACAGTTAATAAATTACAAACTAGTTTTCAGTGTTCAGGACTCGATGGACTTTCAGATTCTTCTTTTATAGGTTCATAACCAGACTTAGGTTTCATATCATCATTTAATGATTCTTGTTGCGCATCAGAAAGTTCATCAATCGCTTTGTAAAAGTCTGTAAAATCGATATAAGCCCCCACTCGTCCATCTTTATCCAGTTCAAGTTTCGGTGCATTAAATTCTTGATTAAATAACGGTCTATCCTCACTACTTTCTGTCGATTCGGTTGAATATGTACCGCTAGTATTAGTACGCTGTGTATCATTATTGTTACCATAGGGTTCCAATCCTGCATTTGTAGGAGTAATAGGAGATGATTCATTTGTACTATTATATCCATTATTAGTGTGATATGACGGAGGGGTTCCTCGACCGGGTATATGGAGGATGGGTGGTAAATTTGAAGGTCTATTATTATAAGGTACTGAAACATGATTCGCACGTGTCATAGTTGGACTGGTAGCAGTGCCCGCTAACGGATAATTAAAGTTTCTAATCATCAATGTTATATCATCTCGTTTTTGGCACACTAGTTTTAATCGATCATGTCCCGTCATGTACGCGTCATGGTGTTTCCGCACAACTCTATCTACTACTGCTTGAGCAACTCCATTTAAAGTTGTTTGAATGGGGAACTCCTCCGCTACCATGGTTGCTATTTCAACATTAACTCGCTCACACTGGAAAGCATCCTCTAGGGACTGGTATAACCCATCAGACATTATGATCAAGAAAGAACAGGAATCATCAAGTGCTATTCCACCATCAAGATAGGGTTCAGCTATCACAGGTTCGCGTATAGCAGCACTAAAAATAAACAGTGAAATCTAATATAACATGTTTTAACCAATGCAGAATTTTGGGCACAAAGGTTTCGGACAAAGGTTTTTAACCCTAGCTAACCAGTTAACTCATATTAGCAGTGTTAGCACCATTTTAACCTCCCAGGCCTAAATGTCTGCCCAGTCCAGTCCCCACTTTGGCAAGATAAACTGTAAAACTGACTGTAAATGGGGATTTCTAGAGTATATCCTGATGTTTCTTCTAGCTTATGCACAAATTTAGTGTGTGGCAATCTTACCAGTTCATCAAAAATGTATAATCAAGACTAAAGAGTAAAAAGGGCCTCTAAGTGAGAACATTAACTTCTTTAAGGGCTTCAGAGACTACCATACTCGCAAGCTCCTTCTCAGTCAGTCCCTGCTAGCAAGTAATGTAGTTTGATGCCCAGGACATCTCTGGGACCTGTGTTTCATTATGCAAACACTATAGCGTCTGGTACATGTAAATATTAACTACCACAGTGCCCCCAATAAATCAAGGTGATCTTTTTTACATTTTGCAACGCCATTCGCCTGAGATGCATTGGATCCTTAGGATCTTTAGTTAGAGGGGTTGTTGAGGATCTAAGGAGGCAGTAGTTTGGATGGTTTAGGTGGTAGAGGTTTAATAACGTAATGCACAATCAATGCACTGGTTCTATTGAGTATTTCTGTTCAGTAAGACCAAGTGAAATAAAACTTACCTTAAAATGTCTATATCTTTATATCCCCCTTTAACGTGATAATCACCAATACATCTAGTGTTATCTGATGTTCCCAGTTTACGTAATTGCTTTAGTTTCTCTACATCTAGACCCAAATTAACCAATCGGATTTGTTCTTGTTCATCTGCTAGAGTATGATCATGTGACAGCTGCATGACTTTAAGAACACCATTACTTGTAGTGCATAACAGAGCTCTAGTATCCCCTATAATAATTTGGCGGAAGAAATTTATAATGACATCCCCCTATTTCTATTTTCTAATAATATATAGAGATCAATAACAACTACTATGATCAATTTTTTTAAAACTTTCGAGATACCACAGTTTAAATCCCACATTAAAATAAGAGTTTGTAGTCACTGGTACAACGAGAACTAGTAATTGTCAATTTTGACACACAAAATAAACAAACTCAACTAATTTACTAGAGAAATATCACCATTTTTAAGCATGGGGACATCATTTTGAAATATCAAGTAGACACATCCTTTAATTAATGGCCCCATTACAAGATTATGGTAACGCTTGAACATGGGAAACTATAATTGTTCTAAAACTTCATCCAAGTAGGTGTTAGAATAAAGAAACTTATGGATCATCCCCTTTAAAATGTTAGAATGTTTTAAAAAAAAATTATCATAGTAGTTGTTATTGTTCTCTATTAGTAAGTGCAGGGGGACTGCACCACACATAATTTACACAAAAACAAATATACGGACAAGACATATTACGCAAAACTCACACAAACTAACGCACAATTCAAATAAAGTGAATGGATCCGTGGGCTAGCTGTAAGCGTCCACTGCGCTGTACAGTCCTGGGCCTGTTATGATACAGGCTTCACTAAATATGAAAAAAAAAAAAAAAAATAATTTACAAAAAAGACGTAACAGAAATAATGCGACCAATCTTGACAGTGGTTTTCTCTTAATTCTGAACCATGTTTTATATTGATTTCAGCTTTTATTATTATTTTTGTGACACATGGTCTTCATTCCGATTTTGTTTCTTTTTTATTCCAGACTAAAATTATTTTTTATACTCACCCACATTAGCTACATATAGTTTATTATTATATATAAGAACAACACAAGCAGTTGTTCCACCCGATATCTGGGTTTCTAATGCATGCAATTTGTTCATTATTTCAGGATACTTCTGGTAGGCATCAAAGTCTGACAGTCCCTGCAAGTAAAAATCATTATGATATCAAAACAATAGACCAAAAAGCTAAACAAGTTTCAATACAATCCTGTGTCAAATTCAAAGCTTGTTTGTTTTTGTTTTTTCCAGAGTACCTATCTTATTATCAAAATCAGATTCTTCTGGCAAAAGGGAAATAAATCTGTAATCAATTATATATATTCTTATTTACACAATTTGTCAATCTAATTAAACCACAGATCCTATTTCGTTTCGGTTTTTTTTATAATTCAAAATTTTGTTTTACTTGTCTTTACTACACTAGTATCTGGAAGTGTTGTTATCTTACCGGCGTTCTGGTTGAAGTGAGGGATTAGTCAATGAAACAGTCTGTTACTGCGAGTTCTTGGCGTGCGATGCAAGGAACTGTGAGTAAACCACTAGAAATGTCAACACTGATTGATTGATCAATGTCTGACGTCATGGGGTCAAAAGCTACTCGTACAACCCCTTGACACAATCTTCCAGTACAACCGGTCAGATCTTCATGTACTGTAAGCCATCGAAAGTATAAAAAAACTAAACGAAATATAGATCTGTATTTTAATCAGATTGCACAATTTGTCATCTTCTGACATAAGGATTGAGAAGAACTTCTTAGTTTATAGCTTAAATATAAAATGTACTGAAAATGTATCATGATTCTGAAACTAATTCTTGTCTTTAAAACTAATACCGGTATTTCAAGACACAATCATTATTATGTGTCAACATTAACGTGAAAATTACAAAAGTTCATAGGTAGCAACAATACACAGGACATTATTCAGTCCAATTGGGTATCACCAGCCCCAAAGGTAATTCTAATTGTTGCAAGAGTAGTATCTTCCATATACCTAGCATGGAAGCCCAATCGGCCACATGATTAAGTTAACAAGGAGACAAAATATGACCAGATATTATCAAAATTAAGGACATACCTCAGGCAATTCCATTTGACATGTTGCTTTTTGAGCTAACAAGTCATCCATAGATTCAAAACAACCTTGCTCTACAGCAGCAAATGCCTAAAAGATTCATAAAAATGCAATCAAGTCACATTTAATACTACTTGGATGAAAGCCGCATTATCCCCATAAAACATCTATTAGAATTGGCACAAATGTTGCATAAAAACTAAATTGAACACACCCAATGTAACTGTATAGTCAAATGGAAAACTATTGTGTTAGCAAAGACCTCCAAAGTACTAATTAAAAGTCAGAATTTAAATAAAATGAAATGGGGTTTGTTGTCCTGCTATTCTGCACTGGGCTATGAGAGAAATTTTGCCTGAACAGTGGAACTATGGTCTACTGTAAATGGTTCTTTTATGTGCAAGCTAATGTGTACACAGGACCTTACTTTTTTGTTCCCTTCCAAAGGACTAGACACTGTTCCTTATAAGGCCCTCCGTCCTGCACCACTATCAAGGGGAAATTTTGCATGAAAATCGTGAGGAATTTTCTCAGTCAACACTGAGCTCGAACCTGAGACATCCTGGTTAGCGAGCCAGTGTCTAACTACAGAACCACTTTGGCTCCCCGAATTTAAATAAACAGTCAGGTAAATAAGGTAGAATTTAATAAAGCAATGCCAGTTAAAGTCATTTAAACCGTTGATTGTCATGTGATAGATTTTGAATGTTGTCAGTTCAATCTTTAAACATGCATTATGCAAGAGCTAAATCTGCCTATTTCAGGTCTTTCTTTAGGCCTGATATGTTATCTAAATTATTAATTAGACATTAATTAACCTATCCAGGCCATAATCAACTCTAGATGGCTGCGCTAGCCTGCGATCTTTAGTGTATTGTAAGCCAATTTACTGCATAACTTTCCTTCTCATTAAACGGTTAAATGGATAATCGAGACTATGCTGTTTATCGTACTGACTTTAGTAATGATGACCAAGGCTTATGGGAATTTCAGTCGCTTAGTTCTCGGTTCATAGTGGATTAATTTGAATGAAATTTTCACCAAATTGCCTTCTACCTTATCTAGTTTTTAACTATTATATTTAGAACTGCTAACTTGTTACCGAATCTCCCATAATGTATCTTTAAAATAAATATTATTAGTCCTAAAATGGTTAAATTCTATTCAGTATTTACAAACATGATGAATTGAAAATTTCATAACAAGCCAATATCACTTTGTTTTGTGTAAAATCTTTTAATATTCCTCTATTTAATCCAATTAAATCCAATCCAAGGGATATCTACTGTTGAATTCTTTTTTTGTTTTCTTAATTAACGGTTAATAATCATTTGAGTTTACTAGATATTATCCAAAAAATGCATGTTCAATGACTTTAAAAAAAATAAATAAATTTTCTAAAGATATCTTAAATGTCATCAAATTAATTATTACCTGCTTTAAAACTTCTTTTATTTCGTGATCAGTTGCCTTGCCCTGTAACTGACCCAATAAAAGTTCAGCTGGCATCCTTTGAGCAGCAAAATTAGAGACTTTATTTCCATTATGACCATCAAACACACCATAGAGATAACACTCATCATCAGATCTATAAATTAGAGTTGCAAAGATGAGTGTGAAAAAAAATATGCCGTTCAGAGCTAAGTTAAGCCATTTTTAAAAAAAAAACAAACAAAAAAATAAACACCTCTCTACCTATCTTCAAAAAAGTTTTGAACTAGCTTAAACATAAATATCTGAATTGTGTATAAGTGTATGTAATAATAATATATAAGGTTGAGTTTGTGTTGGAATCTTGTCACATTCTTGTGGCCTTTGAATAAGTCATTTTATCCTCAAATTCAAAGGTGCCCACCAGTAATTACTAGTACAGCGTGATCCTAATAATGCAGACCCTTAAATGTCTAGCTAATTTCTGAATTGCTATTATTATAATACAGGTATTAGTCATCCATCGTAGTATAATTTGACTGTTTGAATAATGTTTGTATGGACATACTTAAAATGAAAACTCTTATCTTCAAAGTCATGCTCTTCTCTTCTTTCTCCATCTTCTCTGTAAATCTGATTGGTGGAGAAACCTACACCAGAAAAATGACATACTGGTAAATCATCTGTCCAGCTTAAAGCATGACCCTGAAATATTAAATTAGGCATTTAATATAAATTTTAACCTTTAGTTTGCTTATATCTTATTTACTTTTCTGTGATTTATGTCAGGGATCATGAGCATTCATACAACATTTATACATGCCAATAGTCCTGTAATTAATAGATAACATCTGTTTGGTTGTAAAATACGTAATAAACTTGACCAAATTCTAATTCGGGCCATCAGCACGGATCAGTCATCCACATGTTTTCCACAATTGCATATGGGTCTGGTAAACTTGCTGTATCTTTTCTATATCAATGTTTTTGTAAATATTGGTTTCTGGAATCAGTCGGTAAACCATACACATATAAACAAATGGTGATTGGTTCCATTTTATGTAAAAGAAGCTGACTGTACAACAGTATTTTCACAAAAAAACACACAATGGCCTATGGGTTTCAGACTACGAATAAGGCCACGGTCTGCGCATGATCGAAAATGACATCAATCAAAAGGGAAACCCGTTGTGACAGTTTGAATTGACTCCCGGTGTGTGTTTGCTCCTGGGCACTTGCGCGTGTCCTAACCTATTGTTAACGTTAACAACAAAGCTATATCTACTTCCGATGTGTGATGCTTCCTGATTGTGTGTGATTGTTCAGGAAAAAGTATTACATATTTGATTAGAGTTTTGTCATTAATAAACATACTTGTTATCATGATTAGCTGTTGTTTTACTACTAATTTACTAGTTTTAGTGATCAGTAGTTACACGATCAACGGATCTAAGTTGATTGGCTTGAAATTGATAGTTCTATCGTCCATGATTTGTTGTGGGGGTTTTTTTTTTAGTTAGTGATTAGTAGTTACACTTTTTGATGTTTTAATGATTAACTATTTTGTACATTGAATATTGGCCTTTATATGATTGGGATTTCTCTGTATCATTGTTATTTTAATTTTGTACTTCTTATTAAAATTTGTACAACTTTCACACACCAGGAACCATCTCACACTGTCACACCGTAAAAGCTCCACCAACATATAATTAAATTATACATGTCATGACTTATGACACCATGATCACATATGATAATGATGATGGTTATTAGTAATGTTACCGACTTACAGTCTTATGATTCGTCAGATTACATACTAATAATTATTGGATTATACACAAGTTATGACACCATGATGGCATATGAATAATATGATAATGATGGGTATCCATTATTCCAAAACCGACTCAGGCGACTGGTCTTTGATAATATAAATAATTCGTCAGATTACATAATATCATTGGATCTAATTTCACGTTACCTGCAGGCCAAATCTTGGTGGAGATCCGACACTTTCTGCAGAAGGTATTGACGTTCTTGTCCTTGATGTCATTACTTAAAAGCATTAAATCATTTAATGTAACAACTTGATTTCTAAATAAAAACAAAAATATACCGAAGTATTTCTAAAACGGAAACGGAAATAAAATTTATTTTACAAATCTTCGTACGGGTATCTATATCCGGGACGCAATTTGTCTACTTTACATTTTGAAGCTTTATAAATAAATAACAGACTGTATAAGATCAGCATTAATTGTCTATATAAATGGTAGAAACTAAACCGATAAATAATGAACTCAATATAGGCAAACTTTAATTAAGTATGTGAACCAATAAAAGGAGTATTGTCCCTTTAATTGTCATTTTCATTTTTAGATAACTCTAAAGTAAAAGTAGAGAAATTGCGTCAGTACAATCAATCCACCAGGACGAGATCAGATATTATTGAGTAAGTCAGTGGATTCCAATTATTAATCGTGGCTTAGACCAAATTTTGTTATGCATCTTTTTGAGACGGAGAAAGTTGTAGCCCCTGCTACCCTTATTTTTAGGGAACGAAATGCAATGGGGTTTAACGTCCTGCGTTTCTTTCTGCGCCGACTGAGGCATATGAATGATTATGAGGAATTAGCCGACGCCATACTACAGTTTACTATGAAAAAAACTTTGCCCAGACAGCAGCACTAACTACTCTTTTATCAAATTCCAACTGTAAAGTGTTCTTATATACATGCATGCCAATGTGGAGGCCTATTACCTCAGTTTATCGTCCTATCCGAATGACTAAAAATGCTGTCCTTGCGATTACATGACATTTCAGTCCCGCAACATTTCAGACTTATGACCTTTTGGACTAAAAAAAAAATATGGCCTTAACATTTGGGACTCGGGTATCTGATGTTTGGGACTTGAGAATAAGTTGAAATGAACTATCAAATCTATATATGATAAGCCAAAACAATTTTATAAAAATAACACGCAGGTAAAATTTACCGCTTGCGATTAAGTAGGCTACAGCACATGGAGTCATGGATGTATAGACCTCCAATCTGATTAAAACGCAGATCCTATTCTGTTTCATTTTTATAGTTCAAAATTTCGTTTTACTTGTCTTTACTACACTAGGATCTGGAAGTGTTATGTAACCCAAGTTCTGGTTGATATGAGGGATTAGCTAATGAAACAGTCTGTTGCGACGGGTTCTTGGCATGCAGTGTACGGAACTATGGGTATCCCACTAGAAACATCAACGCTGATTGGTTAATCAAATGTCTAATGTCATATGATCAAAAACCTCTTGCATGACCCCTAACGTGACCTCCCACTACAAGCTGTCAGATCTTCATATAGTGAAGGACATCGAAAGTATAAAAAAACAAAACGAAATATAGATCTGTATTTTAATCAGATTGTATAGACATCTTAAACATACATTATGCAAGAGCTTAATCTGCCTGTTGCAGGTCTTTCTTAAGGCCTGAAATGTTATCTAAATTATTAATTAGACATTAATTAACTTATTCAGACCATAATCAACTCTCAATGTCATCGCTAGCCTGCGATATTTACTGAATTAGGATACGATTTGCTGCTCAACTTTCATTCATGATTAAATCATGAAATGGATAATCAAGACTATGTTTTTTATCGTACTGATTTTAGTAATGATGATAGAGCCAATCCTGAAAATCTAATCGCTAAATTTAATTGCTGAAATTTTCAGCAAATACCCTTTACATTATCTAGTTTTAACTATTATAATGAGAACTGCCAGCTCTTTATCTAATCTCCCACAATGTATCTTTAAGGAAGGTCAGTTTTTCCAATGTTGAATGTTTAAGAAAAAAATGTTTTATTTCTTTATATCTGTACTATATTTGTATCTGATATAAAAAAAGTGGCTGATGAATTTATTAGAAATAGGTCAATTCAAAATACGAAAAAAAATATTAACATGAAACACATGGTTATTAAAAGGCTCAATCAAATGATAAAACATAGGTTGCACTTATAGTTCTTTGATAATCATCGTTTCCCATAAAAGTAATATATTTTTTAAAAAATATTTTTTCAAGTTTAATAGTTGCCGATTAAACAAATCAAAAGAGAACTAGCAGTGTTAATCTTTTATTAGTGGTTTCAACTTATTGCCGATCAATTAAATAAAACAAAAGCCAACTATCAGCTTCAGATACAAAAAAAACCAGCTATTACTAATATATACACACAAATTTTCAACAGTGTTATTTTTTCATCAGAGTCAGAAACGTCGCCAGTCCAAGTCCGAAAAGTCACCAAGTAAGTCTGAAAGGTCGTTTGTGTTGAGTCTGAAAGGTCGCAGCACCAAAATGTTGTGCTACCGTCTTTGCCAGGCCCTCCGTTCTGAATCACTGACAAGGGGAAACCACACTGAAAAATCCCGGGGAACTTTTTCGGTCAGCACTAGGATCAAACCCCGGACCTCCTGGTTAGTGAGCCAGCACCTCACCCATTGAGCCACAGTGGGGGAGGAGGAAAGGCGCATTAATTTGTTTGTTCTGGAGTGTTTGACCTCTGCTTAAATTACCAGGGCATTTTGGTAGTATAATGACCCACACAGCTGAATAAAATTGTCCCTCTTCTTTGTAAAAAAAATAAAGAAGCAGCTGAGCAATACAGGTCAACCAACATAAGAGTTAAGAATATTTTACCTACTCTGTGTCTTTGAGCGTCTCTACATTTTTCGCCAGTTTAAAAAAAAGCCATGAAAAGTGCACAGCTTTTTACACGTAGGTCTCCCCTTTTCTTTTGTTAAAATCTGCATAGAAAACCACTGTATGCTCTATGTATGACTTATAATAAACCTTAAAAGATCTTCAACAGATCTGTGTAAAATTTGACATGCTATTATTATAGATGTGATTTATTATATATAACCCTGATGTAACAGTGTAGTTAAATCCCAACAAATCGGAAATCCCTTTTTTTACCAACAAGCAGCGCTGTCCAAAGAGCAAATGTCTCATTTAATAGTAATATGGAAGAATGATTCTTCCAGCTTATGTTTGCACAATACTGTCAATCACCATTGTGAATTCTATCTTATCACTATTAATGTTCATTTTAATTCAGTTTGTATCTTTGAGGTTGTCTGGTAAATCAAAATGGATTTGTCATAATGGCACAGACAAGAAAAGAAGTGTTGTCACTTTATAAAAGAATACTCAATACAGCTCGTAAATGGAATTCAGCATCTGGTGATTCTACAGAATGCAAAACAGAGAAACAATATATTAAAGAAGAAACTAGAATGTTATTTAAGAGAAATAAAGAGGTTGGCAGATTTTATGAGAAATTTTATGTCTGACATGGAGCTCTGGAAATCATCATCTTTTTATTCTCTCTAATGTGAAATGCAATAGGAAACAAAAGGCTTTCTAATACTATGTATTCAGAGAGTAATGACAAGCTTAGAATTTTGTTTTCTGAACAATGTTACTACAATCACAAACATTACCAAGGTCCAGGGACAGCAGAGCATACAAATGATGCTAGAAGAGGGGAGAGGGGTCTCGATGTCATTGGAATAAGTCAATTTTGTAGGTTGAACTTGCTTTTTATAAAACAAATAGAAAGGATACCCCCACCCTCCAAAAATTGAGTGGAAACCTTTCATTTATTTATGTTTAAAAGGATTTGAGTAAAAAATAGCTAATGAAATACTAGACCATATTAGCATAGTGCGACACTTCATTTTGACCTAAATCTAAGATGTCCATCATTAAATAATGAGAATAATAGCAATGTCATTTTATCAACTGCCCAGGTAACAGATCAGGAAGAAATAAAAGAATTTATAAGAGAAGGTGAAACAAGGTTAGAGTTAGGTAAGTTCCATTTAGGATTTGAAGTATAGGTAGGAGTTTTACCAAATTAAAATTTACGTTATATTAATGGGAGTCACATTCATTGAAATGTTAACAAACGTAAGAAAAAAATAATTTGAATAATTCACATAGAAGTCATTTTTCAAAAAGGGCACTATGGCTCTTTTCTTTTGAACCATAAAATAGATGAAAATGGGTCTAAAAGCACATATTGAGCAAGAATTTTCAAACTTGGTGTAGTGTTTATTAGGTCAATGCCTTGATGGAGTTCAAAGATGAGCATTTTCTGCTTAGGGTAAGCAGAGATAAGCAATTTGATTGGTTGATGCTTTAGGACACGATAACTTTACTTCTAATTAAGTGAGAGTGATGAAACTTGGTGTATAGTTTCATTACATCAATACCTTGACTAAGTTTGATAATGAGCGTGATAATGAACATCTTCTGCTCAGGGTAAGCAGAGCAATAAGCAATTTAATTGGTCGAGTCTTTGAGCTCAACAACTTGATTCTAATTGAGTGATAGTAGTGAAACTTCATGTATAGTTTGATTACATCAGTAACTTGACAAAAGTTTGGTGCTGAGCATTTTCTGCTTGGGCAAAGTAGAGACTTCAATCTGATTGGTCAAGACTTTGGAGCACAATAACTCTCCTTCTAATTGAGGTAGAATGTTCAAACTTGGTGTAGGTGTCTATTAGGTGAATGCCTTGACAGAGTTCGATCATGCGCATTTTCCACTAAGGCTAAGCAGAGATAAGCAATTTGAGTGGTCGAGACCTTGGAACACGATAACTTTAGTCTAATTGGGTGAAAGCGATAAAACTCTGAGTATAGATACATTATATCAATACCTTGACTAAGTTCGATGATGAGAATTTTCTGCTTAGCCGAAGTAGCGATAAGCAATTTGATTGGTCAAACATAACAACTCTGCTTTTAATTGAGGTAAATTATTTAGCTTGATGTAGATGTTCATTAGATGAATGTCTTGACTGAGTTCAATGATTAACATTTCTCACTAAAGCTAAGCAGAACGAAGCAATTTCATTGGTCAATGCTTTGGTTCAAGATACTTTGATTCTAACTGATGGAGAGTGATGAAACTTAGTGTATAGTTGATAATCAGTTTGATTGCTCTATACTGTTGGCTTGTAAAAAATTTATTGTAATTTCTAATCAATTATGTTCGGTGAAATAAGTGAACTGTCCAAATTGAACAAAAGTTGTTTATGGCTGCTAGTTCATTCTACATGTTTTTTTAGTATTATTTTGTCATTTGTGAATCAGCTATTACTAATTCCTTCAGCATTATCTTGTAGGATATGTTTTTCTTTGTTCATTACAAATGGCACCGAAACCATATAAATACACAAATCATGTACTGAATTTAGAATGTTTATTATGTCTTTGAATATTATAACAACATCAGTATTGATTGAAATGGACCAATATTGAATTTTAATATTGAGGTTTAGCGCCTTTAAATCAATTTTACTACAAACTATTACAAGTGATGTGTAAATGATTATTAAAATGTTGGAATGTGATGTGTAAATTTAAACAGAAAAAAGATATATGAACAATTTTTGATAATTGTGTCATACATTACTAAATTCTGTTTCTTTTAAACGTTATACTGTAGAGATTTATTTTATTCCATACACATTCTATATCCTTAAAAATTACAGTAGCACAGATATTTTTCATCAATCATCTGTGATGTCCATAAAATTATGTTTTATTACTTCTATTTCAGCTTTACACTATAGAACCCCCTACCCAAGACCTGTAAGTTACTTATTACCTTCACATCTTTATTATTATAGTATGGTAAAATACCTAAACACACAATGTTGCTAATAATAAGCCTAAGGTGTATTGTTTTATTAATATAACCTGTCATTTCTGACTCATACAAAACTTCTTAATGTCTTTCCCTGATCTAGATAAATACTAATAACAAGGTTGTTGTCTTGAAAGACTATAGCGATAACTTTGAAGTTTGAACCAAGCAAGATGAAAATGATAGTTTTTTAAAATGTTTAGCAAATTTTATGGTGTCTAGGGAATCTAAGGAATATCTTGGTCTTAACATCTTTCTAATAAAAGTTTGTGCTCAACTTTTTTCTGTTGCGGCGTTTTATTATGTTGGTAATGTTAGCCTTAATTTGAAGGTGGTTTTATAATCACAATTGCAGGAGGACTGCACCACACACAAATAACAACCATAATACAAACTTGAGAACAAGACATAAACTACACAGACAATGCAAGTTATAAACAATAAATGTACATATCGAATAAAGTAACGCTGTTGCCATGGTGATTGTTATTATCCTCAGTTTTTTTAGATTTGAATTTTTACAAAGAATCATATAGTTAAAGACCGGTGGAAATATTTTTTTCAGTATTTTACATTTTCATAACTATATTAATTGGTTCACAATCTTGTTTTCTACAATGCAATTAGAATCACTGTATTAAAGAAAATATATCCATTGGCACCATTCCGTGTAATATGTAATACAACCTTATAAAGAAAAGAAAGGGACCAAGTATCGACCCCTATGGCACTCCAATGAAAACTGATAATCCTGTGATGATTTCTACTAAGAACGTCTATAAACCATTTACTGAAGAATGTCTTCAACAAATCAGAATAAAATTGTATCATTACAGTGCCACCTTTTATTTTTAACATATTTTATTTTTGTATCATTTACTGGCACTTGCATATTTTTTTTTTCAAATTTTCAGGTTAACATACCACAGAGTACTTTACCACCTGGAAACTTTAAAATGAAAAAAGCTCAGAAGCGTGTAATAGAACAGTCTAAACCAATCTATATCAAATCTTATAAAGACAATACGTGACCATGTTACAGACATAGCTATATAAATCCAGGATTTAATGTCAAATACAATATGACAGTTATAGGTTGAGCTTTCATCCCATTTCTACAAACTATATAAAAACCATATGTATGTTATGAAAGTGTTTATTATGTTGTGTGGTAGTTTCTTAAGGAACCTAGTGAAGAAACAAGCTGTTATTATCCAGTCTGTCAGGCCGGAGAAAATACTAATAAAGAATGGATCTGTGTAGACAGCAGTTTGTTTTTATTTATCATATATAAGTTCAGAATGTTCAACCACATGAGTTCCCCGTCAGTCACAATTAACCAAAATCGTCCACTGAAAATGATATTTTTATATAATGCAATTGGGAATTGCCAATATCAGAATTCACGAACAAAAATTAACATTTTGTGATGCAGAAAATATTTTTAGCGGTAGGTGTTGCATATTGGATCATTTACAATAAAGTTATTAAAGATAAACATATTTTTTTTTTAGAAATGGCTTTAGCAACTTTCAGGAAAAAAGATCCCAATTAGAATCAAGACCATAAATCAAGCAAAAGGATCACTGCACAATTTGCGCATCCTGTGTTTTGGTCGTGGTTGGAGCCATTCATTATTCTAGAGCAAATAATTTGGACATGTATAAACCATTAATATCAGAGCTGGCATTACAATTTATAGACTGAAACATTGATAAATTAACTGCATCATGCACTTTACAGCAAGTGATTATTATAGTGAAGTTTTAATTTTACAGATAATAAAAATAACAGCTCATATACTATTATTATTACCGGTATGTAATTACATGCATTCTGTTTACAAGGTTAATGGGTGGTTCATATGCAGAATATTAGGTTTAGTTATACCAGTTAACATTATGCCAAATAGGAAGGTCATACATCTATAACCTGACAATGACCCTGACTAGAGTAGTAAAATATAGATCCAATGCCTTGTACTTTTCAGATGTCCTCTAATCCCCCACGAAAGTTTCTTTCGTCAATTTATATTTTGGACATGGTGTTTACAGTTACACTATGCATATCTATAACATATATTTATTTGTCAGTCACTTTGTTTGCAATACTTTGGGCGATATTAACTCTGAATATAGAAATACTAAGTGATGATGCACCCTTATTTTGTTTCCTCAGTATTTCAAATTGGAATGTAATGACGTTTATAACTTTTACATGAATTTAAAAGTTGAGCCTTAATATATTAATTTAAAATAAAATGTATATAATAAAGCCATCCTCTACCAAGGGTAAATAATTTGTGCCTTAAGTCAAGACCCAAGGTCGTAAGCTAGTGAAGATGAGTATCTTTTTTTTTCTAAATGTAGCCAACAAATCCTTGTGCCAAACAATAATGCATTGCATTTTTATTCCTTGACATGAAATGCAATTTGACAGACCTTGTCTTTATTTACTCGGCATTTTATCTATTTGACCTACAGGTTAGCATGCGCGCAATTCTTTCAATTATCGTATATAATGTACTGAACGCCCTGTAAAAGTGACTTGTAGAAGTTAACAGCGTTCAACACTACTTGTTAAATGTGTTTTTTGTGTTTAATAGTTTCTGCTCTTAATTGTACTGGAAGCTACCAAGTTAAACTGCTGATGAAAATTCTTCCATATTTCACCACCGTCTTCATTGATTTCATCAACTTGCAGATGTTTCTTTTTTTTCTCAATTTACTTTCACCTTACCCTTCACTCCTAATGTGACCTTGAGGTGAATAACTTTGTAAGGATGACATCCCATTTAAGGTTATAACACATTTTTTTTGTATTTAAATGAAGTTTGATTAAAATAAAGTACGATCGACCATGAATGGTAATACGACTGTATATAGTAAGGGAGCTAGGTTCAGGTTGTTTCGAAAATTGCGTAAGAAATTAATACTATGCTAGATGATGGACAGCGGTGTCCGCTACTCTGAACTTTGATTCTTAAGTTGCGGGTCCCCTTCCCATGGGGGTGGAAGGTCCGACAAAACGTCTAAATTTCGAGTTGAATTCGATTTTTGCGTACAGCAATCAACCTTCGTGCATAAGTCGAGCAACTTCAGATGTCGCCAAAGACACTGCTTAAGAAGACCGCCGACCCTTCCTTCCTCCTTTAAGAATACCCCCCCTTACCCCGGTGGTACTTTTTGCCGACTACCGCCGACCAAATGCTTTTTACCGCCGACCGTCGTGTAATTACCGCCGACCAAATACTTTTTACCGCCGACCGCATTGTAATGACTTTCGATCGTAATATAATTACCGCCGACCAAATACTTGTTACCGCCGACCAAATGCTTAATGATTCCTTGTTAACGCCGACTATTTTACGGTTGTTTTTTTTTAATAAAAAGAATACAAGAATGTTATTTTTTATTTGAGGTGTAATCACGTACAACTGTCGAAAAACATTCATATATATTTTAAAGAATATGGAAGGACAAACTACAATTAAAAATAAAAAAATATCAAGATTGTTTCAGCTACTGGTTATAAATAAATAACATTTTAGGCCTATCTTCTATTAGTGCGGGGGTTAGGGTTAGGGTTGTCGACCATATTTATATATAATAAAATCTATATTTTTTATCAAACTCTGTGGATTTAACCAAATCTATTTATTTGTCACTAATAATTTAATTAATTTTATATAGTCGGCGGTAACAAGGAATCATTAAGCTTTTGGTCGGCGGTAACAAGTATTTGGTCGGCGGTAATTATATTACGGTCGGCGGTAAAAAGTATTTGGTCGGCGGTAATTTCACGACGGTCGGCGGTAAAAGTATTGGTCGGCGGTGGTCGGCGGTAAAAAGTACCCCCCCCCCCCCGTTACCCCCCAGACAGATGAGTTAATTCGACTTCCGCGTTCAGCATTAGTTTTTTCGTTAAAAGTTTACTATTGGTCCGCTATAACATTAACTTAAGAACGCGAAATCCCCTTCTATCCGCATAAGAACGACAAAACGGGGGTGTTCTTAATTAAGGGAGGAAGGAAGGGTCGTGGGTCTTTATAAGTTGTGTTTTTGATGACATCTGAGGTTGGTCGACGTATGCACGAAAGTTCATTATTGTACGCAAAAGTCGAATTAAATCGCTATTTTGGTCATTTCACCCATGGACCCCACGTTTTATCGTTCTTATCCGGGATAGAAGGGGATTTCACGTTCTTAAGTTAGTGTTATGTTCAAGCGGACCAATAGTGAAACTTTTAACGAAAAATAGTGGGGGTCTTCTTAAGCAGTGTTTTTGGCGACATCTGAAGATGGTCGACTTATGCATGAAAGTTGATTGTTATACGCAAAAGTCGAATTAAACTCGAAATTTCGACGTTTTGTCGGACCCCCACCCCATGGGACTTAAGAACTTAAGAATCAAGGTTCAGAGTATCGGGCACCGTTGTCCACTCGTTTAGCATAGTAGAAATTTTGTACGCGAGTTTCGAAACAACCTGAACCTAGCTCTCTTATTAATAGTGGTAGCATTGGTCGATTTCTACGTTCACTCTCTAGATTATCCATTACCAATAGGTCTTTTAGTGGCCAAGCTTCTAAACCATGGAATAGTCTTCCTTTTATTTACGTAAAAATCAATTTAATGTTATTTTTTAAATTTGAAAACCTATTTATTTTTACAGATTTTCAGTTGATATTCATATACTCCTTACTATGTTGTATTTTTTGGACTTTGTGTTTATCATTCATCTTTTGAAATTATTTATCATTCAAATATTTTGTTGTAGTTACGTAAAGCACATTGAAGCCGTACGGTGAAGTCATTTCTGTATAGATTTAGATATCTATCAATTTGATTATAAATTATATACGACATAGATGTAATACATGGCCGAACCTTTACACAAGTTGAAATATACTGAAATCTAGAACCGCGATCATCTTCTTGACTTATAGGTTGGTCGTAACGTATCACTTTTTGATATGCCCTTGTTTCACTTTGTTCAAATTTGTGAACCCTCTAACGGCAAAAGTTATCGTCCGATCTGTATGAAATTTATACATGTATATGCATTATTAAGATTAGTTAAACGACGAAATCTATTGAATTTCTAGAGTTATGGCCCTTGTTTCACTTTGTTGAACCCTGTGAACGCTCTAACGACAAAGTTATCAGATGTGTAGTGATGTGTTAGTGAATTTCAGCAATTTGCATAAAATGCTTATAGCGTTATGGCCCTTGTTTTACTTTGTTGAACATTGTGAACGCTCGAACGACAAACGTCATCATCAGATCTGTTTGAAATTTATACGCATTATTTAAAGGCTGTCAAATTTCAACAATTTTTGTATATAACTTCCAGAGTTAATTCCCTTGTTTCTTTTCTTGTAAATGACCCCCCCCCCCTCCCCGTTACCTACAAACGACTAAATATGTGACAACTCCCGTTGATCACTTGGACGATTTAGGTGCTGTGGGCGTATTTTTGTTGCCCGGAAACCAATCTTTTGATCAGGGTGGCTACTAAGAAGGCACATGTTTTGGTTTATGAAGGATTTATGTGAAAAGTGTGGGTACCCGCCTTAAATTATAACGTTCCAAATACGGGAACTCCAAACACCGTGGGGGGTCATCTTAGGTATCCCAAAACCCTATCCCTAAACCGAACCCTTATGGGTGTCTAACTCCACCTCCTGGAATTCCCCCCCCCCCAACCAGCTTTGAAGAATGTTCCCAACCCTCTCCAGGGTTCCGCTTGTGGGAACATGATTCACAAGATATTGGTATACATTTGTAACTGTTGCCCACCTACATGTAGTTCTAATTTGACTCTTGTGTTTTAGAAGCCATAATAAATATTAGATTACCGAAAGATTTGTTTATCCAACACGGTGTCGGGTTAGATTCTGCTAAGAAAAAAAGTAAGCTCCAAGTCCCAATGCAGCGATGCAAATAATCGTAATCGTGTGTTATTTCAGTATAGTGAATGCTTAACCTCACATTCGTCGTGTCTTCATTGTTTTAAACTGCTAATTAAAATGGATATACCAAACACATAAAATCTAGAAGATTTACACTTACAACTGTTTTGTTAATTTGACACCGAAGTTTGTCTCGCGGTTGGTCGGCTTATTGCTTATCATTCTTTGAAATGTAACGTATTGTGTCGGCTCATTAGAGCTAATATGATTTTTGTTTAATTTGATCCATAGGCGGTTTTGTTTTTTTCTTTTCTTGGAACAAATTTCCGTCAGAATATCGTTTCTGAA